AATGGCGAAAGACTGTTGGATATATGTACACAACATGACCTTGTTATTACCAACACCTTTTTTCAACATAGAGCTTCACAAGTTTTTACATGGTATAAATGGAATGATCCAGATACCAAGAGTCAGATTGATTACATCTTGACGAGAAAAAGAGACTTTCATCAAGTTACAGATGCGAGAGTTATACCAAACTTGAGTTTAGATACAGATCATAGGATGGTGATCCTTGACAGAAAAATCAAGATAAGTTATCAAACCAAAAAGAAATGTAATAAAAGTGACATAATAAAATGGAAAGAACTAGAGTGTGAAGAAAACAGGCGAGCGTTTCAGCAAAAATTACAGGAAAATTATGAACAGCTTCCACAAAACACTCTTGGGGTAAATACAGAATGGTTGAATTTCAGAGACACCACTATGAAAATAGCACAAGAAATATGTGGAACTAAAAGGAAAGGTAACATAGGGCGTAAGCTCTCAACATGGTGGTCTGAAGAAATAAGAAGTATTGTGAGCAGTAAAAAGAAAGCTTATGGCATTTGGTTGAGGAGCAGAACAGAAGAGGATTACATAACATACAGGAAAATTAGAAGAGAAGTAAATAGAACTATCAGAAAAGCAAAAAGAGATTCATGGGAAAAGTTTGGAAGCAAGCTGGCTGAAGAAGAAAGATCAGCAGTGAAAAACTACTACAAAAAAAATCAAAGGCATGAGAAACAGGAATGAAGAATACAACCCAACAGAAATTATAAATGATGAAGTTGGCCAACCTTTAATAGAACCTACTAAAATCTTAGCAAGGTGGAGTAATTACTTTGAAGCATTACTTAGCTGCAATAAAACAGATAAAAGCAGGGAAGAACATAAAAACAACTCGGAACTAACAGCAGAGGAACTAGAACCAGGTATATTATTGGATGAGGTAAAATATGCCATTCGAACCGCGCCTAGACTAAAGGCGACAGGTATTGATGATCTACCAGCTGAGGCCATCAAGGCAGCAGGAGAAACGGGAGCAATATGGTTAAAGAGAATATTTCAGGTGGCATGGGAAAATCAAGAAACACCATCAGATTGGCAAACTGCTGTCATTGTCCCGCTGTGGAAAAATAAAGGAAGTAAGAGGGAATGTACTAATTACAGAGGAATATCACTTCTCAGTCACACTGGGAAAATGTATGCTAAGATCATCGAAAAAAGGCTGAGACCATTGATAGAGTATCAACTTTCAGAAGCACAGATGGGCTTTCGACGAAACAGAAGTTGCACAGATGCCATTTATACATTGAGACAACTATCAGAGAGGGCAATAGAACATGATAAGACATGTTTGTTGACATTCATAGACCAAGAAAAAGCCTTCGATAGAGTCGACAGGAATATGTTGTGGGAATGTATGGGGAAAAAAGGAATCAGCAATCATCTCATTAATATTTGCAAAAGCCTGTACACACGTAGTGAATGCTGCATAAGATCAAAGGCAGGGTTGTCTAGAACTTTTATAGTGAACTCTGGTGTGCGTCAGGGCTGTGTACTATCGCCGCTTCTTTTCATAACATACATGGACGCCATATGTAGCGAAACAGACTTTAATCAGGAAGAAGATATAACAGAATTACTTTTCGCCGACGACCAGGTACTAATAGCAGAAAATATGGAATGCCTACAGAACCACCTAAATCAAATTAGTAACAAAGGGGAGGAATATAATATGAAAATAAACACTACGAAGACAGAGACAATGATGATAGGAAGACATAAAGACAATTTAGAAATTAAATTAAAAAACAACACCCTGAGACAAACAGAGGAATTTAAGTATTTGGGAGCAATTTTTACTTCAGACGGAAAACTGGACAGAGAAATTAGCTCCAGATGTGCCAAAGCTAATCAAGTAATGGGCCAACTATCTCCCCTGTTGACACACAAGCAGATACCTCAGAGTACTAAAGTGAATCTTATCAGAACTATTTTTTGGCCAATACTATGCTATCAGTGCCAAACGTGGACACTTACATCCTCCAATGAACGTAAAATTGTGACAACAGAGATGAAATGCCTTAGAAGAGCTGCAGGAGTTTCAAGGAAAGACAGAATACAAAATCATGAAATCAGACGAATGCTAGGAATAAAGCCAGTCTTACAGGTCATCAAAGAAACAACAAATGAAATGGTTTGGACACCTAACAAGAATGCCCTGGTACTATCTGCCACAGCGAGCCACACTAAAACGTTACAACGGGTATAAAGCGAGTGGAAGACCTCGGAAAAGATGGAGTGATGGCATTAAGAACAGCCTTACAGAAATGAACATCAGTCTTAATAGTGCTCTTGACAGAGCTCATCAACGAACATTACATCTCCCCCCGACACTTCGATGAGGTACAAGGTGGAAGAGAAGAAGAAGAAGAAGAAGAAGAAGAAGACATCTTCTGCCCGACCTAGCCACGATTTCCCCTTCTTCAGTCTGTCGCCCTTTTCACTAAAAAGCGCTTGATGCAGTGGGTGTTTCTTATCAGCGCATATTTTGAGATATGCCCGAGCCCTCCACATCCTGATCCTTTGGTTCATTGTTGGAAAGTCAAGTAGATACCTCATTGCTCCACAGGATGTGTCTCTAGTACATCCCAAAATAATGCGCATGGCTTCATTTTGCACCTTTTCGAGTCGTTCAATCTGGGTAGCACTGACAGTGAGGATGGCCAGAGCGTATTCAATGGGGGAAAGGACCAGACCGTAGAATAGAAGTATTAGTAGTCTTTGCTCAATATTGGAAGCAGTCATAATCCTCATTGCAGATAGACCTTTGCGTGCTTTTGTTATCACATGGTCAACGTGTTCCCTGAATGACAAGCTGCGATCGAACCTCACCCAGAGAAACGTCAAAACGTTGGTTCTGATCAATGCATTATCACGCATTTTCACTTCTGGTAAGTCCGACTTGACAATGTGATTGTTCAAAGAGAACCACGACACTGATGCCTTCGAAGGATTGACATAGGCATTGGAACCATCACACCAGGCGGCAATTCGATCGAGTTCTTTGTGCATAGTGCTGGCGATCTCCTGTCTATCACGCCCTCGTCGATAAATCAAAATGTCATTAGCAAATGACAAAGTCCTTCCCTTTCCATTCAACTGCTGCTCAGTGATCATCACCGTGTAAACGTTAAATAAGACTGGTGATAGCGGTGATCCCTGTGGCAAGCCTGGACATATAATTTGCGGTTCGGAGGACCAGCTACCACATCTTAGTACAATCTTTCTCTGGAACAGGACCGCAGCAATCCAGCGGATCAGAATAGGATTAACTTCTAGTTTAAGCAGTAATTGCATTAAATAATCGTATGGTACTTTATTGTAGGCATCTTCTAAGTCCAACACTGCCGCACATGTCTCTTCTTTAATCTGAAATCCCTCGTACACATCGTAGGCGAAAACTGCAGCATTGAACCATGTCTCTTTTTTTAACCTGTACCCTCCAAGTCCAAGTGTTGGTGGGTAGGTGGTCAACTTATCGACAATTTTTTCCAAAAGTTTGCCAGTATTCTGCATCGAGATGATTCTGTAGCCGCAGATCTTTGAGTGGTCTTTATTAGGCTTTGGTAGTGGGAACAAATAACTATGGAGCCATTCCTCTTGTATCTGAAAGGTGCCAATGATGATGATGATGACCCTGTTTTACGTGTCTAATGATGTGTTTGCTATGGTTTGTGTGTATAGTGACATATTTACCCTGGTTTATGTGTCTAATGTTGTATTTACTCTGGTTTAAGTGTATAGTGCCGTATTTACCCTGGTTTATGTGTGTGGTGATGTATTTACCCTTTTATGTGTGTATAGTAATGAATTTACTCTGGTTTATGTGCATAGTTACAAATTTACTCTAGTTATATGTATTTACCCTGGTTTATGTGTTTAGTGATGTATTTAACATGGTTTATATGGGTAGTGGTGTATTTACCTTGGTATGTGTGTATAATAGTGTATTTACTCTTGTTTATGTGTGTAGTGATGTTTTTACCCTGGTTTGTATGTGTGGTGATGTATCTACCCTGGTTTGTGTGTGTGGTGATGTATTTACCCTGGTTTGTATGTGTGGTGATGTATTTACCCTGGTTTGTGTGTGTAGTGATGTATCTACCCTGGTTTGTGTATTTGGTGATGTATTTACCCTGGTATATGTTTGTAGTGATTTATTTACCCTGGTATATGTGTGTAGTGACGTATTTACCTTTGTATGTGTGTGTTAAAGGAAAGAACAGGACAGGTCACAACGGCCTTTTATAAAATTAAGAACATTTTGTGTAATAAATCAAAGTCATTGGAGGTTTGGAAAAAAAATATTCTTGCAATCTGTATAGAGCCAGTTTTAACATACGGCTGTGAATCCTGGACAATTAATAGACAAGCCGGGCAATATTTTTAGGCCTCAGTGATGTGGCTTCACAAAAGAATCCTTAGAATTCCTTGGAAAGCTAAGAAGAACAGCCTTGATGTTTTGAAAGAGGCAAGAGCTTGAAGACAGCTTTACACAAACATCAGACAGAGTCTGTCATTTTTGTGTGTTCATGTTATGAGAAGAGGGAAACCAGTACATGTTGTGACTACTGGAAAGATTAGTGGAAGAAAGACAGAGAAGACAGTTGAGAAGATTCTTGACAGTCTTTTGTCATAGTGTGTTGGGGTGTCAGCCCATGAACTGATACATGCAGTTGTGCGGATCACAGATGGTGGAGACGCATGGCTGCTCATTCAAGTCAGCAAGACACTTGATGGGGATGTGTATTGGGATGTATTTACCCTGTATATTTATGTAATAATGTATTTATAATAGCAGATATGTGTGTGTATTTGTAGTAGTGTATTTTTGTATTTACCGTAGTATATAAGCATAGTAGTGTATTTACCCTGGTATGTATGAGTTGTAGTACAGGCATTATTGTCTGGCCATATCATTAGGACAGATATTATTTATATATTTATCTTTCTCTCTTTAGAATTCCATCCGGACATATTTGGTTGTGTTACTGAATGGTGCTGATTGTTCAGGACAGCAGATGTTATATCCACTGTTTATTGTAAGTCTTCCTGTTCTTGGAGTGTACATCAAGTGAACGTAGGATTGTGTTCATCTAGTGAATATATGACTGAATTCAGTCAGTTAAGTGTTCATTTATTTAAAGTTTGCTCTCATTCATTCATTTAAAGTTTGCTCTCATTCATTCATTTAAATGTGCTCTTGTTCATTCAGATGAATGTGCTTCTGATATGTGGTAGAATATTGGAATGATTTATGTGGAGGTCAGGTCTTGGTCAGATATGACTGAGCTACTGAATAACAGTAGCCGGTACTACCTGTTTTCTGCTAATGCCGACTTTTGAGCAGCGTATACTAAATCTGCATCCATATTGTGCCAATAGCTTCAGGCGGAGGAGCGCATATGGGAGGATACTTGCCTTGTCCGTGGAAGAGGAAATGCAGCCTGAAAACAACTGTATGTTATGGCAGGGCAGGCTCTTAGCCTTGGCTGGCAGCTGGTCTACAAGGGAAGCTCTGACAGGTGGACAGATAAAGCACTGTTTTTCTGATCCTGCAGCTTCTGCGGCCTGCTTGTGCTCTTGTGATCTGGCAGCTTCTGTGGCCTGCTTTTGCTCTTGTGATCTGGCAGCTTCTGTGGCCTGCTTTTGCTCTTGTGATCTGGCAGCTTCTGTGGCCTGCTTTTGCTCTTGTGATCTGGCAGCTTCTGTGGCCTGCTTTTGCTCTTGTGATCTGGCAGCTTCTGTGGCCTGCTTTTGCTCTTGTGATCCGGCAGCTTCTGTGTCCTGCTTTTGCTCTTGTGATCTGGCAGCTTCTGGGGCCTGCTTGTGCTCTTGTGATCCGGCAGCTTCTGTGGCCTGCTTTTGCTCTTGTGATCCGGCAGCTTCTGCAGCCTGCTTTTGCTCTTGTGATCCGGCAGCTTCTGTGGCCTGCTTTTGCTCTTGTGATCCGGCAGCTTCTGTGGCCTGCTTTCGCTCTTGTGATCCGGCAGCTTCTGTGGCCTGCTTTTGCTCTTGTGATCCGGCAGATTCTGCAGCCTGCTTTGTTCTAAACGTACTGAATCGCAGGCTGTAAAAACCAGTGCACCATTGTAGTGAATCTCATTTTCTCCCAGTTAATTTATGCCCGACAGATGAGGTCATTAATAAGTGTGAGTGGAATATTTGGACTCTAACTGGGACGGCACGGGGTTTGTTGAGTCTGAACTTCACGGGAGTTATAGAAAAAGGCTGATAGTCAAACTTTGTGTGAAGCATAATTATTCACGTGAATAGAAACGTTGACTGTCGAACTTCATGCGAAGTACGAGGAATCACGTACCACGCACCATGTCCAGCCAAATGGAATTCGTGAAGACAGAAGGGACACGCGGAATATTCAGGAAAAACGAAGCGTGGCATTAGAAGTCTATATAATAGCGTAGAAAGGGCTGAGAAGCAGTCTCGTCAGGGCCCAGGAACAGAGTGCATGGACAACGATGGAAGATGTGTGGATTCAGCATGTGTTGAGTGAATTTGTTCCAGTCCAACTTGGCAAAAAAGCTGGCAGGCAATATGATGTCTGCGGGCCATGTTAGTTTTCTGTCAGGACAGCTGTTGTGTTTTCGTTCATTATGATAGTGTAGGATGATTGTGATTTCGAACTGAAGGTAATAGATACTTTTGATATTTGAGTTATAATGTGTGCCTGGACAGTAGTCTATTTCATGTGCCGGCTGTGTAAGCCCCGAGTAGAAGATTAAAGTGCTGGAACAGTATTGTGTTGTTTTTCCAGTCGTCCATTTTCTGCTCGTCGTTTGATGTCAGTATGTGAGATAGCCAGCATGCGATGATGCGAGCCAGATAGAAGATAAAAGAAAGTCATCGCAACCATGCAGTAACAAGAAAATAACTTCAGGCTTTAACTTGCCTCTGTGTCAATGCAGGATTGCAAAGAATTCTTTTTATAAGAAACTGGATAATGCAGTGAAAGCAATTTCTAAATCTTACGCCATCTGCATACTTGGTGATTTTAATACTCATGTCCAGTTTGCCTTGGAAAATATAATGTTGGTCATATAAATGAAAATGGGCAAAGACTGTTGGAATTCTGCACTAGAAGTGGCATGTTTATCACAGACTCCGTTTTTAAAACTAAAGACCCCTGTGTGGGTTCCGGGGCCCCATTGTGGGGAAAACAAGAATAGACCCACTGCCTCCCCAAAAGCATGTTGTAAGAGTCAACTAATTGGGGAGCTTCCTTTGAAGACGGAGTGCGTCTGCCGGAGAGGCAAGGAACCAACAGTCTGTATTCAAGAGAATAAGATCTGTAAAACTGATGCACACGTAACACTCAGGTTCTGGAGCAGGACTGCAGTTCAGTAGTAGACGAGCAACCAGAACCTTCCGCCAGAGTTTACAGCTGGTGAACGCGAAGAAGAAGAAGAAGAAAACTAAAGACTGCCATAAAGTGTCATCAAAATATCCAAGATCTGACCACTGGTACCAGCGAGATCTTATTATCATAAGAAGGCAGCACTTGCACCATGTGTCAGTAACTCGCAGTTACCACAGTGCTGACCGTAATACTGACCATTCCCTAGTTGCTACAAGAGTTCAGATAAAACCAAAGAGAATTTTCACTTTAAAAAAAAATCCCTAGGTAAATATTTCCAAAACTAAAGACTCCTGATGCTAGGAGACCAGGTTTACCCAGAGTCTCAGTGTGGCTTTCATGGGGACCGATCTACCACCGATATGAAATTTTCAAAACGACAGTTGCAGAAAAAATACAGTGAACATAATCAACCACTGTATGTTGCTTTTATTGATCTTACCAAGACATTAGATTTGGTCAGTCGAAAAGGTCTGTCCAGCACACTGAAGAAGGTTGTCCACCTACTCTACTGAGCATTATTGAGTCCTTCCACACAGGTATAAAAGGTACAATCAGCTTTGATGGTGTAAAATGGAAGGAGTTTATAATCGACAACGGAGTGAGGCAGGGATGTGTACCCGCTATACTGTATACTGTCACTTCTTTTGACACATTCCTTTCGGGATTATGAGTGTGGTATATTCCTCCATTCTCAGTCTCACACAGCCTTCACAACACTTGTAGGCTAAAGGCCAAAACCAGGATAAGAAAGTTACTGATCAGAGAGAGGCTGTTTGCAGATGATGCAGCAATTACCATTCACCAAGAGGAGGAGCTGCAATGTTTTTACTTTCTGCATTTGCTGATGCATGCTGTCAGTTTAGACTAACAATCAACAACAACAAAGACACAGGTTATGGTGCAAGGTATTAATGATAGACTTGCAGTCTACATTGATGGTGAAGAGCTGGAGACAGTTGACCATTTTTTCTTAACTGGGATCCACAGTGAATAACAAACTTTTGCAGGACCAAGAAATCAACATCAGGATAGGTGAGGCAGCAACAACAATGAGCCGATTAACAAAAAGAGTTAAGAAGTTCAGAAATCTATTGTATTGGACTCTTGGGAACAAAATGCCATGGACTGTGTTGTGTAGAGGAGGCACATCAGGAAAGGAATCAGAATGAAGGAAGAAATGATTGCAGAAAGGATGAGAACTGAGAATCTGAGAAGAAACAGACCAAATACAAATGTTGACAACAGCTATCCTGAAATCCCATTCTATAATTGTGGAAGACTTTTCTTAAGATGGGCTGGTCTTGCTAGTCATACTCGACATCACCACAGGCTGTGAGTCTCATTATGCTTCATACTTGCCAAACAGTTCTAGTGGCACTCCATAACACAACTTACAACTTGCTGTTGATCAGAATCTTGAGCTCACCACTTCAGTGCCTAGGTCGTTGTCTAGCTTCCATGTCAGGACTAGCAGTAAGGATGAACAGACTCCATCTCACATACACAGCTGATCTCGGCTGACTGGGAACCTACAATTCTTAGACTCCCAGTACGCACACAGTAAAATCAGCCAAGTTGATATATTCTACACTGACCAGCAGAATGCCAAGCTCTGAGCCCCCTCAGCACACTGCTGGCGCTGTCAACTTACGAGATTCCTTCTTGTATGTAGAATCACTGCCTTGTTTCAGTAGTGACCATGACCGTCACACACATCATCACCCAGGGACAGTTATCTGACAGCTCTGGGCTGCTCGACTCTGTCTGAACTGATTCTGGACAGCTCTGCTCTCAACTATATACATGCCTGCTTTCTCTGTGAGTCCCTCCATGATAATTGAGGTTCTCACATTATGCACGTTTCATCTCATATCAGGCTTGCTCGGCATGACTCTTTACCCAGGCCGGTTGACACCTTTTGAGTCTACTAATCCACTTCGGTCTTAAGTCAATACGTACACAAAATATTGACTTAAACTTGTCTGACACTTCCAGTTCTAAGTCAACACCAGCTCAATATTGACTCACAGAATTTACTCAGGTCCTGTCAGCACTCCGGTCAACCAAACCTGCACTCAATTAAACCAACCAATATTGATACCCCGGAATCGACACGCAACACACCTCCACTATCATGCTGCTAGTAGTCATACAGAAGGTACCACTGGCCTCCTGGACTGTTCGGCCTGCAAAGCACGCTGTAAATGCCCATTCACTTTTTTGTCCTCGTACATTGGACCCATCTGTGTAGATCAGTATGTCCGCCTTATCTAAATTGTCACATATAAGCACGTGGACCTCTGCATTGACAGCAACTGGAGTCTGCTCCTGACAGCTCTTATCAAGTGTGGCAACACAGAAAAAGGTGCAGCTGAGCACCTGTTACACAGGCATCCAGTCTTCGCCAAGGTTGATGTCTGTAAGACTGCAGAGCTGTATGATATCATCCTCTTCTCTATTGAGCCATGTTTTGCCCCTCTTTAGCCTGTTGCCCTGTTTCCTAAAGAGAGCATTGTGTAGAGGGTGCTTCAAATCCGAGCTTATCTTCAGGTATGCACGAGTCCTCTAGATCGTCATCTTATGGTGCATTGTCGGAAAGTCAAGAAGATATCTAAGCAGGTGTCTCCTGTGCACCCCAGAATAATGCGCATGACTTCATTTTGC